ATCCCTTCAAACTAAACAACTTTTATTTGAAACAGTTTTCTTTAAAATAGTTTGTTTTCAAGATATTCGACCGTTACCAGACTTTTCTAACACCCTGTATGTCCGACAGTACAAAACACAAAAAAAACATTCAACGCTGTCGCTTCGTTAGCCGGACTCGACACTTGCTGCTGGTGCAGAAAGTACCAGCGCAAGAGTCTTAGTCCCCTCAGCTACGCCACTTCCCTTTATAGAAATATCATACTAAGAATCATTGATAATTACTTATTATCCAGTATTTTTAATACTGAAAATAAGTAATTATCAATGATTCTTAGTATGATATTTCTATAAGGATGGAAGGATTTCGATGGAAGTGAATGCCACATTGTGTCTTATATGAGGCATGGCTTCATGACTCTTACTTTGCATCGCAATATTTAGGAAACGAAGGTCCATTCACCTATGTGTACGAAAATTGAAATGACAACGTAGCACACACACTTGCATAGCATCTGTGAAGGGACGATAAATGAAAAAATAATGCGGCGTAATGATAGCGCGAATATGTTGGTGCTTATCAAATGTAACATTTTGACGATTGTGTTCGTTCCGTACAGATACTTATAGATAAATTATAGATATATCATAGATTGAAAATTTTAAATAGATTTTTTCTTATCGTTTTCGTCTCATAATGACGAATGCTTCGCTTCATTTTTGCATGTCCTTTCACCATGCAAAATAGTTTATAATTCCCCTTATAGAAATATCATACTAAGAATCATTGATAATTACTTATTTTCAGTATTAAAAATACTGGATAATAAGTAATTATCAATGATTCTTAGTATGATATTTCTATAAGGGATGTAGAAAGAAATAATCTTTGCAGAAAGATTTAGTGTCATGATAGTAACTGTCCGTTATCGTTTTCCTCTCATATTGAAGAATGTCCCGCTTCATTTTCGCACGTACTTTCACCATGCAAAAGTGTTTTCGGCGCATGTAGAAAGAAGTAATCTTTGCAAAAGAATTCGGTATCACAATAGCAATTGTTCCTTATCGTTTTCGCCTTATATCGAGAAATGCTCCGCTTTATTTTCATACGTATTTTCACTATGCAAAAGGGTTCCCTTATAGAAATATCATACTAAAAAATACTGAAAAATTATTAGTGATAAATATTACCAGTAATTCAGTAATTTTTTGGCCAGTACTTAATTTCTGGTGAATACTGATAATAAAATCACTGTTAAATATTGATAGTAATCAAATACTGAGAATTATTATGCGAAGGTGAAAAATGAGAAAATCATAATGTTTACAAAAATATACTTATATTCCTAATTTTCTCATGTCTCATAAACTACTTAGATATCGATGAATCCTCCTGCGATAATTTCGATCCCAAGCAGTATATACCACTGGTCACTCATCCATGTCCTGACCGCATTAAACTGTTGCTTAACCTGACAATCGAGCGTGCACGCGGTGACTTTGATGACTCCAACGTTCTTACAATTCATGCTTATATAATGTATCCTTATATTGTTCACAGTAT